GGTTTCCTGTTCCATAGATCTAGCCTCTTTATTTTCCCCTTAAAATGCACCAGTTTGATGCATTTAAACTCAAAAAAAAAAAAATACAGGACCCCCCTGGAGGATTGGAGGTCGACCCCCACTTAAAATCACTTGGATAGGTTCCTAAATACATTTACAATTTGTTTAAAATAGTAACCCATGTCAATATGTTTATTTGTAGGTAGTAGATTTAAACTATAGGGCTATAACTATGGGCCCTGTCTGTACCTGTTCGCTCTGCCATCGCGTGAAGGGTCTGCTAACAAGCGACCAACCGAAAGGTTAATGTTAATGTTGTTGTATGTCACAAAGGCCCGTCAGACCTAATCCTTAAAATTATAAGGGTTAAATTGGTAAAATACACTTTGACTTTCTAAATAAAAAAACACAACAGCGTTTCTTACCTGAGTTTTGTTAGTATGGCTGCCAGCAGCGACTCCTGCTCTCTGTTCCTCTCCTCCGCCTTTGTTGTCTCCATCTCTGCGTTGTGTCTGTGGGCTACGACCAGCGGGCAGGTGTGTGTGAGCGTCCCTGTCGGCAGGTGACGTGGCCTCCTTGGTTGCCGCGGGCAGCTGTGTGACGGTGCGCTTGGCACTGGGTTCCTGAGGCTCTCCTTGCGTGACTGCGACAGGCTTGCTGGTGGGGGCTGAGCCATCTCCAGCTCCACCTTTCACCCCTGCAGAGTCTGTAGTGGTTTTGTCACACGCTTGTTTGTTTTTCAGGCCGCGCTTCACCCCCCGCTCTGCCTTGCTGCCACCGCGCCTGGACTCGCTGTGTGCCGGTGTTGGGGGAGGCTGCTGATTTGGCTGCGTGGAGGACACTCTGGATTTCTCTGATGACTCCGAGGCAACGGGCTTCCCCTCCAGTTCCTTCTCTTTTTTGGTCTCAATAGGAAATGTCTCTTTCTCCTTCTTATTTGACTGTATAAGAATAAGTAGAGGAAAAACATTGTATCTAACCAGCTGCAGACTGAACTGAAGACTCCATTTACAGTAATAACTAATTTTACACAATTTCATAAAACAATAAAATATTATGCAAAGAATTCTTCATGTATAAGGTCACATTTTAGGGGGAAAAAACACGAATGTACTCAAATAATAAAAAGGCTTAGGATCTGGCAATTGGATTGGATTTCATTTAGCTTATTGTAACCTAATTAGCTGGATAAATATTAACAATTTGCAATTGGCTGAGTACATTGCTGGTAGTTTAAGTGATTTTAGTCATTTCTTTCTTATTTATAATCAAATAGCTGGATTGAGTTGGTCACAATGGGGCTTATCTATTCAATGACATACTAAGTTCATACTATATATCATATCATTTATATTATGGCATATATTTTTTTTATTCTGACTGAGTTGTTGCTATGTTAAAAATGTTTACACAGAAAGATCATCTTAATATTTAACAATTCAGATATTTCATATTGCTTCCAAAGCCTTTTGATTCAATTGGCAAAAATCCAGAAATCGTGCTAATATTACAGTGATTTAAAATATGCACCTAAAATAATGGCATAGTTAGGAACACCTTTGTATTACGTACTACATATTGGCCAATACCCAAAACTTATGTATCCGGACTAAAAACATCAGAAGGTTGCTTCCCTGAATCTAAATGAAAACCCCTTTAAGTTATATGACTCACCTTAAGCGAGGGCCAGATGTGGAAGGGAATCTTCTTGTGCATGATGACGTGCAGGAAGCCTCCCTTTTCTTTGTGTTGGACTCTGCTGCATGACGCCTCAATCTCCTCCTGCAGCTGGCAGCTCCACTGCCGTCCATCTGAGCAATTATAACATGCATACAGATGTTTTTAGAACAGAACTGGAATCCACATAAATGGTAAGTATGCAATCACTTGAGACAGATGCAACTTTGTCCGTTTTCCTTGTGGTTGTATTTAAATTGAACTTGACTGTTTTTATTGATGTTCCACTGTAGTTTCTGTACAATAAATATGCATTACTAGGACTCACCTGGGAAGTGCACATGGCAGTGAGTATCAGTGAAGGTCGTGTTGATATCCTCTATTCTCTGCACCCCCTCTCCACAGCGCAGTCTGACCGTCACTTCATTGACATTCTGCTTCCAGTCCACAAACACATCTGGAAAAACACAACAGAGTTGACCTTCACATACTGTTTATGTGAAATCAGAGACCACTTCCCCTTTCCACCTTGGTCATTAGAATAAATTCAATTATAGATCAAATAAAAGACAACACAATCAATCTCATCTGGTAAATATGGAATGAAATAGAAGAGGAAAAAAGTGCTTTTTAGTGAGGCGAATGTGGTGATCATGCTATAGAGAGGGGCAATGATGAAAAATCTCTTCAGGCATAAACAGATTTGATGAAGTGCTCCCTCAAAAAAAGCAATGGGATTTTTCTTCAGCAGCATAATCTCCACATAAGGCAATAAAGGAACTACATGAATTCCCGTCACTAACGCTAAGCTAAAGACGGCTAATGTTCAGCGTGATGGCCTTTAGTAGTCTCATTTAGTCACTTGTTTGCAACCACTGTTTTTATGACACATAGAAGCTTCAGACATTCACCAGTTCGGTATTCACGGACATATTTTAAGTCGTAGAACAAAATATGTATAACTCTTTTAGGCTCATGATAACCAGAGATCTTATTTCAAGCATCTAAAAAAAACTTGTTCAAAGAGACACTGACTTCAAGACGAGGGAGCCGTAAGTGCTAAATTGCTAACTCATTTCCAGGTTTTAGGAGTGGTTCCTGAACCTGTGTTGTATCTCTACAACACTGAGAAAATACAGTGTCATTGCACCTGCTCAGATATTCAGGGCATATCGTTACACTATGCCCAAATGGGTCATCCTGGGACAAAGCCTGAAGCCGGCATTACAGCAAACTGTACAGTGACCAGGGCTATTCAATTAGTTTGGAATGGGGCCGGTTGATGGAAATGATCCAAAGCAAGGGGATGGCTTGAAATATGAGCAATCATATTAAGAGCTTCAGATACAGTAAATACTACAACAGCATAGTGGAGTGCATATATTGTGTTAAATTAAATGAAACAACATAGCCCAACGGCCTTCAGAGATCTAAATGGCAAGTTCAGGACTCAGTAGGCCTACATGTGAAGCTGATTTAACCATCAACATCATTTCATTTGATTTCATTTAGGTGAAATTATCTAATCATTCAAGCAGCGATGCAACCAATGACAGGAGTTGCCACTACAGTAGCTAGTAGGTGGGTTTGAAACCCGAACCCGCAGAAGTTTTCAGGCAATGTCTTCCCCTCTATCTCTCAATGTAACACCCTCTGGAATAAAAGGCACTCTGGCCCAAAAATAAATATTTAAAAAAAAAAGAGATTACTTTTTAACATTATACTCAAAGGGCCAGTAAATATCACCCCGGGGCCGGATTTGGCCCGCGGGCCGCCAATTGAATAGCCCTGCTGTACACCAAGTAAACAACAGCCTTAAGGCAAGTGATTTATGCATTTCAAGGTAGACTAAAGAGTGATAACTTCAGTCAAAGAGATCACAAAATGAAAAACAAAACAAACACGTACCATTGTTCATAGTGACTTTGGAAGTGATTGAAAATAAAGTATCATCCCAAAAACACAGTGAGTGTTAAGTTTCCTGCAAGCAACGAAGTCATGTACGCACACTAAATGTAGTCTTCCACAGCTAGAGAGCCTCGACTTTCCCACTGTCACTTCTTCACTCTAACTCACCCCTCCTCTCAATCCCTCTAGAAAGGTCACAAGCAACACCCAATCCCTGCAGCTGGTGACAGTTGCATTTCCAGTGGAGCCACGCCCACAGTGTTCTCTCATAACTGGGTAACACACTACACCGACATCAGGGCTTTCCACAGGATTTTGTGACACTATGGTGGGAGGACCTCAGACCCTTAATGGAGGACTGGGAGCATTTTTTTCCTGTAAGAAAATGTGAAGCATTTTGAAGTTATATGCATCAATCTGGTGCTTTTTGAACACAAAATAAGGAGGTGCGATCTAGGGATGGGTACCGAAATCCTATTAAACCAGGGCTACATTTTTAAAGACTGTGGTATCGATAAGCTCCGACGTTAAAAAGCGTAAAAGTAGAACATAGCAGAGTGTAGGAATACTCTGTTACAAGTAAAGGTCCTGCAATTAAAATATTACTCAAGTAAAAGTACATAAGTATAAGCATCAAAATATACTTAAATTAACAAAAGTAAAAATACCCATTTCAGAATAATATATAGGACATGTTTTATAATGATTGCTCATTAAAGTGTTCTCAAAGCTGGTAAAGGTGCAGCTAGTTTGAATGACTTTGTATACTGCAGGGTAGCTGGTGGATTTACTCCAGGTGGAACTAAAGTCTGATTTAACACTTGATTAGATTTCACATCATTCATCCACATCTGTGAAGTAACTAAAGGTATTAAATACATGTAGTGGAGGAGAAGTACACCATGTACCTCTGAACTGTAGTGGAGTAGAAGTACAAAGTAGCATAACATTGAGATACTAAAGTAAAGTACAAGTACCTCAACATTGTATACAACACTAGAGTAAACGTACTTGGTGTCACAGCTTTCTGTACGTTCCCTCTCTTCAGGCCCTGTAATCAAACCTTCACAGCTCACCGTGTATCAGTGTGTTCTGGAGAGGAACTGATTGCACCCTCAGTTTTCTTAATGTGTCTGATTATTCAAATGGTTTCTGAATACAAGTCTGAACAAGAAGTACCACCTTGTCTCCACTAACAAGAAATCTGTAATGTGATCAAACATGTTGTACACACTGCAGGGGAATGGGGTGAACATGTTAACTGACAGATATCACCACTTCATTCCTGACATTAACACGATTATCTTTCACATTACAAGTTTGCTGACATGTTGTGTTAAACATATGCAAATGAGGGGCTATGTTATGCTAATTTGGTGAATTTAGGTGAAATCTGCACTCAGACAGACAGTTAGTGAAATAAACTCCTGAGTGAGGATGTTTTATTTCCACTAGTCTGAATAAAGACATGTTATAGAAGCTAAAAAAACAATCTCTCACTTTATGTGTATTCAAAGCAGCTCAGCAGTGTGTTCATGTGTCAGGAATGTGGTCTGAATAGACAGATATCAACATGAAACTCGCCCACTTTATTCCTGACATTAACACAATTACCTTTGACATTACAAGTTTTCTGACATGTTGTGTTTAAATATGCAAATGAGGCTTTATGTAATAGAAACGTTAGGTGAATTTAGGAGAAATCTGCACTCACAAACAGATAGTTAGTGAAGTAAACTCCTGAATATGGAGTTTTCTCCCACTAGTCTGAATAAAGTTATAGAAGCTAAGGAACCTAAATGTCTCACTTGAATGTGTCCGTACGTAAAGCAGCTCAGTAGTGTGTTAATGTGTCAGGAATGTAAAAGCCTCGTTCTGCCGCTCTGTGGTCTGAAACTGAACAATGCCAGGGACTCCCCCTCCGGCTATTTCCAGACCCTGCTGCACATTTGAAGCCCCGGGTGCATGACCCC